AGACTTAAAATTTAAAAAAAAAAAAAAAAAGAAAGAAAATCACTTCCCCAGTTTATAAAATAGTTCCAGTTTGACAAGATCTATAACTTAACAGAGAGCACCAGTTGGGCAATAGAATGAGCATTTCATACTGCATAAAAATTAGTGAGGTGGTTAAGAACCATCAACTATCTCAGGCATTACTACATGGTCTTTCCAAAAATTTTTTAATATACATGCAAGGCACATTGATATAAAAATAGATCTCTGGCCAACAAATATATTAAATAAGCAAATTAAAATTTTGGCTCTGCGATATTGGCAACATCAAAATATAACCAGATAGCTTTGGACCACACATCATTCTCATATTCCTCCACCTCGTTTGGTGTTTCCCCTGCATTGTTTTGGGTTCCATCTCCTTCAAGTTTGGGGATGTGCTTGAGAAATTCTTTTCCTTTTTTCAAGTAGCATTCCTACTATATTTAAAGTTTACCTTTGCTAAGTAAAAATATACTAGAAAAACAGAAGAATTGGGAATTTTGACTGATTTAACGAAAACTGACTGGTTTAGAACAGCATTCTCTTTTGTATATAAGCAAAAAGCAAGCTCCCCAGCTCAGATAGCAGATAATTGTTTTCTAAAAGAACAGCAACTTCCTTTAAGTCATTCTTCCTCTTTTTGAGTCAAAGGGAATAATAGAAACAAAACTAAGATTTAAAATATTTTTCAGTAGTAGAAGACATTTTAAGGCCAAAAAGTGTAATATTAAGCAAATCTTTTACTTTCCTAAGTTATTGTCATTCATAGGCCAATACCAACTATGGATTAGCTACTTGTACAGACAGATTCCCTCCCAAAGATAACTGTAAAATTCACTCACTTTTGTTAGTGGCTGTGCTACAGAAAAGGTACCAAAGCAACCTATGGTATATGTATGGTATATAGTAATGTAAAAAGTGCATCACATTCTTAATTTTCAGTTTTTCATAGCAGCAGCAGGATTAATCTAAGACAGAAAACAGTTGTATTTTCATTAAAAAAAAAAACTATCGAAATGTACTCAAGATCATAAAAGGATTCACCTCTATAAATGAGAAGAGACATTAGACAAACAAGGGCAAACTAAAGGCAATCATTCATATTTACATATTAAAACTTTTTTGTTAACACCAAATCTTTACACTAGATTCTAGTAAAAGAAATAATGCATTTTAATAAAGCAGATGTTACTAAAGCAGTATCCATTTTTGGAGCCTTTGTTTGTTAGCACCTGAGGAAAAAAAGGGTATATAGAAAGCTATGTAATTTACCTCAAGTTAATTTGTTGGTCTATGTAGACTACAACTTAAGATATACGGTGAAAATTAAAACTGAACTGGAAAATAAACATTTGTAGGTGTTTTTAATAAGGCTGTAGAAAAGGGATACTGCACTATCAGAAAATGGCTTCAGAACCCTGAACACAAAACTTTATATATAAAGAGGGAAGTTTGAATCAGCAACTATCACGTGAGGATGGGTGTTCCATAGTTTCTAGCCCATATTTGACATTCCCAGTAATATAAAAAGCAATATACCATTCTTGCTTCACTGGGTGTTTATTATTATGTAGACAACTTAAAAAAACATTCATAACATTGCTGGGATCCTTTAACTACTTTAAGATCTTTCTTGAGCAGCAAAACGGTGTGGAACTTAAAACTCAGTAAAGCAGTGAGCAGAGTCGATGTTTCATCATTCTTTAAACCAGCTCCCGGTGGTTCTGGTTCTCACATCTGAATAGACTGAAACCTTTAAAGACACTCATAGCAGAAGCCCATCTTTTTTCACCATAAAAGAATCCTGGTGCCCAGTCAATTAATAAAAGCAATATTGACTTTAAGAACTACCATGCCTCTGGCAAATTCAGAGCAGCAAAGTCTAGCCTTGTCCTCTGCCCTTTCCTTTTCCTTAAAATCTAGAAGCAGGGCTATCAGAAAACACCATCTTATTAGAATCCACCTGCTGTTGCAGCATCAACAGGTCTTACCATAAAAATTGTCATACTTGTATACATTTGTCCTACTACAATATCAATTCTGCAGTTAGCACATGAGGGATCATGTGTTATTTGAGGACATGGCCCAGAGGCACTCCTATACCCATATCCCTTGAAAATTGCACTTTTAATTAATTTATGTCTCCTAAGAAAGCCTTACAAAAAAATGACTCCCCTCTTTATTTGGTGGAATTTAAAATTAAGCAAAGCCCTATTATAATTCCCTTGCCTGTGGCCATTTGTTCCATGACAATTCACACTAAGTGGCTTTTTTTTAAAAAAAACTTATTGGCAATTACAGAAAAAAAACCATTAGATGCCTCTAATATGAGTTAGCAACAAACTTAACAGCCAAATATGAAACTACTGCTGCTATGTCATATTTTTATGAAGAAACACATTTTGTATTGTGGACAACTCTTGATAGCTGAGGTTTGTCATTTTGCCTAAGAACTGTTACTTGAAAAAACAAATGCAGCACTTTTTAAGTTTTTGCAGATTCTGAGTGGTGACTAAGTATGCAAATGATTAAGGACAGCAAAATTCTAAAATGGAGACAAACTAGCCATTTATTTCAAGGAAAAAAATAAATAAAACAAGCTGCCATTAACAAATCCCTAGTTACTGGCTATCTCCTCCTAAAAAGCAGGGGAGGAAGATGAGCTACTACAGATGGTATAAATATATTTTATGTTAATGGTTCATTACTAAAGAGGTTAGAGGAAAGGCTATGCAATTAACTTCAGTCCAGCAAAGTGGGGGTGAATAAAGAGAAAGATGAATACACCCTGTCTTTTGTGGGGACATCTACACAAGAGTGGCATGTGACACAAATTTAAAAAAAGAAATCTTCACCCATAATTAGTATCTTCATAGCTATTAAAAAAATAGGTCATAACTTCATTCTTAGTGCCATTTTTCCAAATACTACCCCTTTAAGGATTTAAACCACCTGACTTTACTCTGTGTAATGAAAACAAATGGCACAAAATAAATACAAGTTTCATTCTGAATACTAATGTCTTATACACATTCACTAATCTTTTATCCTTCCCTCACATACAAGCACCCAACACACAAACATGCATGCATACACACATACACACAACCATACACACACCCATAGACACAGCTTTTTCAGTCTTTTTAATGGAGGGATGTTAAAAATCCCCTCTAGACTGTATTTGGTTTATGCTACAGTACTAATACTCTGAGTCGAAAGAAAATTTTATAATGAACAGAAACACACTGTTATTTAAATGTGCTAAATTAATCACAGCTGAAGTTTGTTTAGAAGCTTACACAAAAATAATCAGAAAACAGATCAACTCTTCAGATTTTTTTAATAAGTGCTCTGTAAGGAATTGTGTGAGGACCTAAGGAGAAAGATTGCAACAAGTAGAGTTAAGTGTAACCAAACAGCACAAAGGAGAATTTGTCCCAAAGTCCTGCTTGTACCTAGGCAATTAAGTCCATTAACCCAATGCCCAAAAATACTGACGGTTAATATGATGGGGCACTAGGGTTCCCAGAAAATTAAGAAATTCCTAACCACTATAATATATACCTCCTCTAATCATATAAATTTCAGTTCAGAAATAAAAGTGAAATGTTGCATTGTTTCATTTAGAATTGAGACTCAAAAAAACCTTTGGACAAACAGAAGGGTTACATTCTCTTCAGCTTCTCTGAACCCAGAGGCCTGAGGGATATAGGAGGGAATTAAGAAAGCAAAGACTTTTAAAAAAGTATTTAATTGTTGCTTCCAAGGTAAAGGTAAAGCCCAATTCAGATGGGGGTTGGGGTGTTTTTTTCTTAAATATATGTTCATTCAACTCTGTATGTCACAAACCAAGAAAGTTTGTGAGTTGTGAAACAAAAAAACTTTAAAATTCCAGGCAAGCAAAATGGACATTTAAAAATAAGAGGTGTGGGGTGAGGGTGGGGATCTGGCCCTAAGACAAGTGGTTACACAAGGCAATTGAACACACAGCAGAACTTTAAAACCTGTAAAACAAACTGGAGCCTTTTTTTTTCTTTAATCAACCTTTTATCTTTTTTTTAAACTTTTTGAAAATTTTTATTAAAAAAAAAAAACACAAAACACAAGACATTTTTTCACTTCAGTATGTGGTATGTTGCATTTTCCAGTTTGTTCAATGCTTTAAAGCTCAAGGATGCCTCTGCTTTCAATTGTACATGGGCCTGAAGCATCCTAGCTTTTGGCAAGCAGGCAGGAGACTCAACAAAAATCAAAATAGGAACAAGGCAGACTAAATGCAGGGCACATCTGTAAACATATTATACATTTGAAAATTACAATATCAGTAAAAGTGATACAGTTTACAGGTGAAATGAAACTATCTGGAACTGGCCTACCACAAGTTTCTGAACCTGGACTGATACAATAAGTTATTATATATATATATGTATATATATATATTATGTATAAAAAGTTTTGTTTACATCAAGTGGAATTGGCAATCCATGCTTATAACTTTTTTAAAAATCTAAGCAGGGCAGAAATCCAGACTAAAAAGATATTTTCTCTACATTGAGTCCAACAGCTTCTTTCATGAACTACTTATTAAAAGCCTCAAATAATCAACAAGAAAACCATCCACACTACAGTCGCTCAAAACTGGACATTTCTTAAGCAAAGGGGTAGAGCAAAAAAAGCAGTTCCTTTCTCCCCAGATATTCCTAGGGGATCCAGCTTATTTTATTAGAAGACTACAACTCTATATAAATGCCCTGCTATTTTAACCTGTATTTGACATACATGGATATACTAATTTCTCTCTGTGTGTATATGTGTGTGTGATGTTATGCTGTGTCAGGCCAGAGAACTTGTTACTATATCACTAACATCACCCAATCTTAAATTGGACCCTTAGTTTCTGCACACACACACACACAAAAAAATTTATTTCAGCATGCTATACACAAGCTGCAGTGCAACAGGATGGCAATGTGATGATAAGACAGGGCTAATGCTCTTTTCTGCCCAAAAGAAAATTTCAGAATTTCACATTATTTTCCTTAAAAACCCATTTTGCTCTAGTAATAAAATATATTTACTAAGATATAATTAGAAGCTAATAAGCTCAGAAGTATAATTTGCATGAAAGCACACCTTCTATAAGCAGGGTTTATTACCTCCTCACTGGCTAAAAACATGAAAAGTTTAGTTTTCATTGCCTTTTTTTCTTCCCCTTTTAGATTTTGCAGAGAAATCAAGAGAATTTACAGAAAAGTACAAGTTTCTCTTAGATGTTTGATGAAAAACAAGGAAAACTGCACATTTAGTGTTAGTGACAGAGAGCAAGTCTGGAGCACCTACAGTTGAAAAGCAGAATATATTTTTGCTCCCAGTTATACAATTACATTAAAATATGGGCAAAGGATTCCCCCCATATCTAAGCCAATTGCTTGTTCTGCAACTTTTCTTTAAATGACACTCATGGATTCTTCAGTTGTTAAAAGTTCAACATATAACCAAAACAAGTTAACTATGCACCCACCAACTACTCCAGAATTGTAGAAGTTCAATGCCCTCCCCTATCCCCACCCCACAAAAAAACAAAAGGAAAGAACAAAAAGATTTCCCCAATACCCCACAGAGGCTGCTTAAACTCCTGGCAAGACATGCAAATCATATTTGCTTAAAAAAAAAAAAAAAAAAAAAATACACCCCTGCAAACTTCAAGGCATTTATCCAGCATTCTCGCAGGGCTTAAAGTAAAACCAAAAGATCAAGGGAGGAGTAGGGGAAAATGTTGAATCATTCTGGGTTCCCCGTGATTAGTGTATCACTTTAGTCACAGAACAAGATACAGAGATCTTTTAAGTGGATTTGCCTTTCCAGTGGGTCATTTGTTGCCCAAGTTGATGACAGCAGGAACTTTAGAACCACGCTTGTAAGTCTGTATTCATTAATCACTTGCATTCACACTTAAACAAAAACTTACAAATGAAAAGAAAAAAAAAAAAAGAAAAAAAAACAACAACAAACTATTCAGTACCGGAGATTAAATAACCATGTGTAGTCTCTTGAAATAAATTTGATTCCTTAAGAAGTCTAATTACTTTCAGTTGCCTTTTTTTAAATAACTATATATATATATATATATATAAATGTATATATATATATTTGTATATATTATCCTGTGATTCTACTTATGGTTCCTCTGCTGCGTTGAAGATCTAGGAGCATAAAAGCCTTGTGTCCCCCATGAACGGTGGCTCTAATGCTGCAGAAAGGTTACAAATAGGCAGTCTGGTCCTTCATTGATCTGGACTATCCATGGCTTCATTGTAAGTGATTATCCTTTTGGGATCTAGAGGGAAGGTTAAAAAAAAAAAAGTAAAGATAAGAAATGGAATCCCAAAATAAAGCCTAAATAATCATAGTTTAGGTTGCCCCCTCTTATTAAAAACACAATTTAAAGGCTACTCTTTATAAATACACATCCAATCCAGTTTCTTAACTCAAAGTAAGTATTCCGGCACTCCAACTGATTCCTGCAACAGGGTCCTCTAACTTATGATAACCTCAATTCCTACAGACTAGCAATGATAACCTCAATTCCTACAGACTAGCAATGGCTAAGTTCATTTAATAAAAGTTTTCTTTATGTTTCTTTGGATTACAAAAGTAGTAAATTTGAGGGATTGGGGTTGCAACTCAGTGGTAGAGAACTTGTCTAGTTAAGTGTAAGGCACTGGGTTCAATCCTCAGAACCACATAAAAATAAATAAACGTAAACTTAGCCAGGCATGGTAGCGCACACCTGTAACAGGAGGATTACAAGTTCAAAACCATTCTCAGCATCATCGAGCAACTCAGTATCTCTAAATAAAATATAATAAAATGGGTTGGGGATGTGGTGCAATCCTTGAGTGACTCCGAGTTCAATCCCCAGTACCAAAAAAGGAAATCTGAAAAAAGTGGAGTCCCTTCCTTGCAAAAAACAAAAACTTAAAACCATCAAATCTTCATATAAAACACAACAACAAAAACCACTTTCCTCTTGTTCTTTTCAGCAACTGAAGTTAAAATTCATTTTAACTGGTACAGACTGTCCAACAAGGACCAGTTTAATTAAAAACTTAGCAACCAAAAACTTCACTCTAAAGTTTTTGATGTTAGTTCTAATCATGACTCATTGATTCCTTCTTATTTTCCTCAGGACCAACAGCCTTCATTCTCAGCAAAAGCAGATGCTGTAGCTCAGTGGTAGTGTGTGTGCAAGGTCCCCTGTTCAATCTCTAGCACGAGTGCATGCACACATATGAAAAGAAAAGGAAAAAAAATTAAAAGCCTAGGGATCTTCTGGGTTCAAAATATAAAACTGTCAGAATATGCCTGGGCAAAGCCTACAGGGGTATTCTAAAGTATTAAATTTCCATTATTTAGCTAAATGTTCCCATTTTCTGAAGGGACAATATTTTTATTACATACTACTTCTACCTATAACTAAGAATTTTTTAAAGTACACGTACTTCAATGCAAAATAGACAAACCAATAAAACTTGTCACCTAGTGGAAAATAATAATGGCCTAAAAATAGTAACATAGAACTTAAGCTCATATCGGCTTAATAATCAATCTAAGGCTGGGATTGTAGCTCAGTGGTAGAGCGCTTGCCTAGAACATGTGATACTGGGTTTGATCCTCAGCACCATATAAAAATAAACAAAATAAAGGAATTGTGTCCACCTACAAAAAAAAAAAAAAAAAAAAAAAAAAAATCAATCTAGTCCAGAAATTATGTAATATCCTTTCTGGGACTCCAAGGCCCACCTTCTGGCAATCAATTATGAAAATAATGCTCATTTTTAATCACTTTACAGTACAAGGTAGGTCTACTTTTGAAGGGTATATTTTCTAATCTGATTTTTAAGTTTTGTGTTTGATTAGGAAAGTGCCCCTCCCCCCAAATCTAAATATTTAAGAAAAAGACTTGACCCTAAGAAACAAGGTGAGGTCAAAGCTGTAGTTAAAAAAAAGCTGGAGTAGTGTTAGGACATTAGGGGAACCTACATTCTAATCCTGCCACTCTCTAGTTTCTATACCCGTGATATTTTAATATATTTAGGAAAAAGGCAAACAATAATTAGTATAACCAATTTTAACTTTTTGAAGATTCCAAATAACCCACATTTGATTTTTTTCTTCCTCCCTGCTGCTAGTCACACCTTGGTTATGGGAGGGTGAAAATAATTGTGTGCGCCTGCCCACGAGAGTTCCAGAGACTGAATCCAGGATCCCTTGCATGCTAAAAACACTACTTACCCCACTGATCTTCCTTTCTATCAGAGTAAAAAAACAATTCACTGCTTTGTCTAGCAGCTGGAGTATTTTCATACTTATAGTATTACCTGATCCTTATATGGCATATTTATAGTACCTGATCCTTATATGGCAGCTAGTGCCTTGTGACTGCAATAATTAAACAGCACAAAATACAAAATGTATTTGGTAGGTCACTTCATCTGTTATTCCCAGCCAAAAAGAATATGTAACAACTGCTCATTAATACTAACATTTCAGGTAATCTAAACATTCTTACCTTGCTTCTGCAAATTCCAAATAGATTCCATTTCTGCAGGGAAAAAAAGAAAAAGGATTATTTTATGACAACTTTCAAGGAACAAATGCTTTTTCCCTTAAAAAAAAAAAAAAAAACATATATATAACCTAGACTGATTACAGCTGGGCTAGGGCTGAAAATAACAATTCTACAAAGCACTGATGTCTTTCTGTAATTCTTTCTTTCTTTTTTTTTTTTGAACTAGGGATTTGAAACCAGAGGTGCTCTATCACTGGGCTACATCCCCAATCCTTTTTTAAACATTTTTTTTTTTTAGTTGTTGATAAGACCTTTATTTTATTTATTTATATGTAGTGCTGATAATCGAACCCAGAGTGCCTCACACATGCCAAGCAAGTGTGCTACTGCTGAGCCACAGCCCCTTTTTATTTAAAGACAGGATCTCCCCTAAATTGCAGAGGCTGGCCTTGAACTTGCAATCCTCCTACCTTAACTTCCCTAGGTGCTGGAATTAAAGGCTTGCAGCACTGCCCCCTTCTAAGAGATGAACCTATAATTCTTTTTTTTTTTTTTTAAGAGAGAGTGAGAGAGGAGAGAGAGAATTTTTAATGTTTTATTGTTTAGTTCTCGGCGGACACAACATCTTTGTTGGTATGTGGTGCTGAGGATGGAACCCGGGCCGCACGCACACCAGGCGAGCGCGCTACCGCTTGAGCCACATACCCTGAACCTATAATTCTTAATTGCCATGTTTAATACAGAAAGTTGATTCTATCTCCACTAACAGCAAAGTCATGCACAACAATGTTATAAATATTTCAACAGCTCATCATTATTTAAAAAAAAAAAAACCCACCCACCCACCCACACAACCAAATACTTCATGGCAACTAATCACTTCTGAAGAAGTCTTTTGGACACAGTATTTATCAAAGTTGATTAAATCTGATGCTTAATATAAGCATCCAGGCATTTGATTCTACCTCTAAACTATACCTACTTGTCATTTTAACCCATAAGGTCAATATGCCAATCCATACCCAGTGACTAATGACAAGATCCTCATTTGCTCCAATTTCATTCAAAACATCAACAAAGAGCTTATGTGGCATTTTCATTAAGAAAATATGAACACACCCAAATGATAGCAACAGAGAAAATGCAGGACAAATTCTACCAGGCATACAAGAAAGCTTCACAAGAGATACCTGAAGCCCTGATGAGTAAGACAGTAGATGACTATTATTCTATAAGAATCAAAGAATCGACCTTGAAAGGAAACACTGTACCTAGGACATAAAGTAAATTAAAAAACTACTTAGTAAAAGGAACAAACTATAATAAAAATTAAGAATAAATATTTCTCTTATGGTCATACAACAGTTATTTGGAAAAGCTGAAGATTATTTTAATCTATTTGGATTCCGTGTTAAGTGTAATCTAATTTATTAGCAATCAATATAAAGAAAAATAAACTAGAGCTCATGAGAAGGGATGTATCTGGACACCAGTTACAGCTAAGTCACAATCTAACCCCTCTCCAGGTTTAAATGAAATTAAATGTATGGACCTAAAATTGTAACTGTCATCTGCATATGGATGGGGAAAGGAAATAGTATACTCTCTCCCTGCAATGAGCCAAGATCAAAACCATATCTAACCAGCATGGTGGTACACATCTATAATCTCAACTGAAGCTTTTATTCAAATGCTACAGATTTCTGCTAAGAAAACTGCATTATCCTCAAATGTAGGATCTGGAGTAGTCAATTTGATTATGTCTGATGAGGGAAAAAGAAGATATAATTCATAGCTTAAAAGCTAGCCATCGGGGTTGGCCATGGGGGTTGTGGCTCAGTGGTAGAGTACTGGCCTAGAATGTGCAAGGCCCTGGGTTCGATCCTTAGCACCACATAAAAATAAAGATATTGTGTCCAACTAAAAAATAAATATTAAAAACAAATAAGCAAGCCAGGAGCCAGCATAGTACAGCCAAAAAATAAGCTAAACTAAAGGTGAATGCAAATTCCTTTCCTGCATTAATATTCCTTCTGTGACTACTAGCAACTTTATTTCCTCAATGGGGATAAAATTCAAGGCATGCTAGGCAAGTGTTCTATCACTCAGCTACATCCTCCAGACCTTAAATTTAAGTTTCCATGAAACTCAAGGTTGCAATCAGAAAGAAAATGTAAATAAATAGTCTGATGCCATACTTAACCCTAACTAAGGCTAACAAGAAGTAACAATAGATTTGATATTATATTTTTGGCTCCTTATAGCTTACATAAGTCTCAACTAATTATGAATGTGAATGTAACTGGATAAATTAAACCAACTAAGGCTGGAGAAGGTACTTTTAACAATACAAATCCTGATAGGACCTCGCATGTGCTAGAGGCAAGCGCTCTACTGCTGAGCCCCAGCCCCCAGAGCTAATTTTTTAACTTGACTGTTCTTTATTGAAGATGGATCATATTATATTCAATCATGCATGTCATGAGAAATGCCCAGAGTCAAATCAGATAACTAAATAAATAAATATATTAAACAAAGGTCCATAAATGGCTAAAAAAAAATATTTAAAAATAAACAAAAACAGCTGGAGATGTGCCTCAGTGGTAAAGCACTGCCTAGTTCAATCTACAATTCCAGTAATTAAAAAAAAAAAAAGGGAAGTTTACTATTAATTATACAGGTGAAGGGAAGTCACTGAAGGAATCATTATTATATTAAATATTAGAAATGATTCTTCCAGGCAACTGAAAAGAATGAGATAACATCAAGTCCAATAAATGCTTCTGCAAAATAAGTTATGACAGTTTGTTGTCAGAGACAGAAAAGAAAAATGGAAACATTAAGAGACTGGATCTATATAATCTAATGACAAATTGGACTAATGTTAACTCACCGAGAGGAAAGGTGGGGAAAAAAACGGGGGTGGGGATACTGGGGATTGAACCCTGGGGTATACAACTGTTGAGCCACACGCCCAGTCCCTATTTATACTTGGCAAACTAATTCAAATGTATATACACCTTAATTCTGTGTATATAAAATTGAATTCATTAAGGTGATACAACAAAGTAACAGCAGTTTAAGAAGTCTTAAAGTTTAACATACAAGAGAATTGGATGAGATTATCATAACTTTGTGTAGTATGAAAAAGGAACTCAAGTAATGTCAAAATTTAAGGAACAGAATAGAATGATAGAGAACAAAGAAATTCAAAGTAGATAATTTAGGGAAGGAGTATTCAACTATGATGATTCTTAACCAGTATTAAGACACTTGCAACTTTCTAGCCATCTATTCCCTTTTATTCAGCCCAATGTCACCGCCCTGGCTCACATAGTGATATCTATAACTTACATACCTACGTTTCTATTTTCTATAAAGCAGGCACTCTACCAACTGAGCTATATCCCCAGCCCTACAATTACCTTTTAACTTGCCTCTTTGCCATTATAGTCAGTCCAGCTTCACTTTCAATGTTTAGCACTCTTCCTTTAAAAAGAATTCTGAAGGTTGTGTTTGCCTTGCATGCACAAGGCCCTGGGTTCTAATCCCCAGCACCCCAAAACCAAAACACAAATCTGAGGGCTGGGGTTGTAGATCAGTGGTAGAGTGCTTGCCCAGCTTGTGTTGAGGCACTGGGTTCAATCCTCAACACCACATAAAACAATTTAGAAAAGAGCAACTTTTACTTAAATCTAACCAGACATGGTGTCACACACCTGTAATCCTAGTGACTCAGAAGGTTGAGGCAGGAGTATTGCAAATTCTTCCCATAGTGCTTGGTACTATAAATACTGATTTGAATGAAACATTCAAATAAGCCAGGAAATAATACTCCATAAAGTAGTAACTACGTAAGATCCCCTTGATACCACTGACATTCAACTTTTGACCTCCCAAAACAGCAATTTCATATGATCAAAACCGATTTAGTATTCAATTCTAAAATTTCTCAAAGAAAAAGGATGAAGTTACGAATCAAAGTCAACTTGAAACTTATTTTGTCTTTAAAATTTTAACAATGATCCTATTCTCTGGTTAACAAAATGTTAAAAATTAACATCTAAGTTGATGTTGATCAATACATAATAGAACTCTCAAAAAGCCAAGCCAGATGCAATGTTGCATGCCTGTAATCCTAGAGGCTCAAGAAGATGAGGCAGGAAGATCAGGAGTTCAAAGACAGCCTCAGCAAAATAGAGAGGCTAAGCAACTCCATAAGACCCTGTCTCTAAATAAATACAAAACAGGGCTGGTATGTGCTCAAGTTCAATCCCTGGCACCTAGCTAACTAACCAACCAAATAAATAAATAAAACATAAGGCCAACTCCCATAATTGTGAGCCCTAAGCCAATCTAAAGTTAACCACACTTTTCAATCACTTAGAAACCATTTCATACCAAATTCCTTAAGATTCAGCAATCATGGTAAGATCTTCAATTTCAATTCTTTTTCCTAACCTAGATTTACCTATCTTTTGATGATACACACTATCCCAATACTTTGTTTTCCTATTCTGATTTCCTTTCTCAATTAGTCAACTGTACACCTGCCTATTCATTTACAAAATCTTTCAGGGGGTGGGGATGTGGCTCAGTGAGTACTTGCTTGGTAAATGCAAGGCCACAGGTTTGATCCCCAGGACTTGGGTGTGTGTGGGGGGGGGAGGGGGTCCTTTCAGAAATCTCACCTATTCATTACTTTTTCAACTTCACTGTAACTAGAAAGAGGTACATATTTTCAGATTACTTTGATTTATGGCAATTAGAAGTCACCACCTTTTCAGTAAACAATAAATCCTTCATCCCCAATTTGAAGCACCAACCAATCAGAATAACCACGATAGTCTGGACCACCTCAAAATCCATAACAGAAACTTAACAATTTGGTTTTGTTACTTTTCTCTTTTCTACAATACTTATTCTAATCTGGTTCATACTGTAAGGGTGAAATATCAAACTCAACCTGCTTGGAATGAAACTTGGAAAGATGAGGCAGGAAGATCAGTACTTGACAACAGTACTTGACAATT